CCCTACACCCTAAACCCTTACACCCTAAACCCTTAAACCCTAAACCCTTAAACCCTAAACCCGAGAGTGCTTACGGGTTTGATGTAGCTCCGAAGAGTCGGTTATGACCCCGTGTTTGAGAGGGCTATATCCCGTAAAGCAGTAGGTGACTGCACCAGTTAAGTTGTCAAAGTTTAATAAACCCTAAACCCTAAACCTGGATTTAGGGTTTAGGGTTTAACGGCCCGAATATGTAGATGATTCGTATGATTCTGCAGGTTTCCCTGGTATATTTGTAGTATAGAAGCCAGCAAAACCCTGTTCAATTTGATATGTGCTAGCCAAGGAAGAACACGAATACGCAGTTCATGGCCCAAGCTACACCCCTTTTGGGATTTTGTTGCAGTCCTAGTGTAGTATGTTATAGAAACCATCTTATGAAGGAACGTGCTTGATGGTCATGTTCATACAGGTTTCCAAGAACAACCCAAGACCCTAAACCAACCAACCAACCTAAACCCTAAACCCTAATGCTGTGAGTCCGGGCAGGTCCTTACACTCCCTGGCGAGTTCAAGTTGGATACGCCGGCGGGGGAGAAGGAAAGCCGCTGCATTCCTCTAGTTAGCGAAGACAAACCCTATGGGTCCATGTGCCCATATAGACGGTTTAAGGTTTAGGGTTTAGGGTTTAAGGTATTTGGGTTTAGGGTTTTGGGTTTAGGGTTCAGGGTTTTAGGGTTTAGGGTTTAGGGTATATACTTCGGCTTTAAATCAGTCCCTACATATGCACCACTTTAAGGGCCAAAGTATCTACTACATGCACCAACAAAAGTCGACTCTTAGTACGCCGCACCCTATAGTTTTGGATCCCCAAAAAGGGTTTAGGGTTTAGGGTTCCGCACCCTATATCCCCCAGAAAAGACCCGAATTTAGACAACCACCCACATGGCACGTGGACCCACAGGGAAAACCAGACAAGCATCGATTCGACGGGTACTGCCCTCGAAAAGTTTAGGGTTTAGGGGGTTTGGGGTTGAGGCCCTAAACCCTAAACCCACATGGAACTTTTTGGATTCAGGGGTTTCGGATAGTCTTTGGACTCGCTGTTTGACTGCACAAGGTCCCTTTGGGGCTGACACTGTGGCTTCCTGGCTTTCAAGACTTGACATGTCCCCTGAATTCACAATCTCAATTCAATGCCGCGAACCCTAAACCCTAAACCCCTAAACCCTAGACCCAACCCTAAGCCCTAAACCCTACACCCCTAAACCCATAAACCCTCAACCCTAACCCCTAAACCCCAAACCCGAAAACCCCAGACCCGACAGCATGGAAGACCCTTGGCAAACCACTTAAACTCCACAGTTTACGGTTTAGGGCTTTGAGTTTAGGGTTTGGGGTTTAGGGCTTTGGGTTTAGGGTTTGGGGTTTAGGGGCTTGGGTTTAGGGTTTAGGGCTTTAGGGGTTTGGGGTTTAAGTTAGGGTCTTAAACCCCTATCATAGAATCCCTAAATTCCGAGATCGAAAAAACGGAATTCCTGAACCCCTGAGCCACTATAATATAGAAGCCTAAATAATTACCAATATTACTGTTAGTGTTCCTTAAATATAAGAATACTAAAATTATAAAGCCCAAACCCTATTCTATTGATTAAGGACCTCTAAACCTCCGAAAAGCCCTAATCCTCCCCCTCTGGCCAAACAAGAGAACAGAAGGACAAAGGAAACCACAATCACAATAATAAATATCCGGGTGAACCCAACATGACCCCCCCCTGAGGAGTTCTCCAGCGATGGCTTCTATGCCATCCGCGGTGTGGCTACCAGCAAGGCCTACATCATTTTTTCTTCATCGGCTCTCACAGGGGTTTCTTGGGATTCATAAACCTTAAACCCTAAATCCCTAAACCCTGAACCCTGAAATTTATGGGCTGTATAAGGGCTCTATGGGGGTTTGGGGGTTTCGAGTTTGTCGTTGGGACATGTGGGATTTTCGGCCTTTGGGACAACGGTAATACGTTTAGGGTTTAGGGTTCAGGGTTTAGGGTTTAGGGTTCCGTGAATTAGTCTGCTGTCTTGCGTATGAGGTTTACAGCGCACTGTTGTCCAGGGCGGTGCCCTAAGCCCTAAGCCCTTTCAACCTGTACGTGCTGGTGTCCGTGGCCATTAGCCAGCCTTGGTCGACGAAATCACACCTCGCCGACTTCCTCAGAAGCATCAACCTAAACCGCCCCAAACCCAAACCCAAACCCCAAAACCCCTAGACCCTAAACTCTAACCCTAAACCCAAACCCTAACCCCAAAACCCCTAAGCCCTAAACCCCAAAGCCCTAAGCCCAACAGCCTGGCCTACTTATCATGCAAGGGCAGGAACTGATCCCAGACGCATGGAAGAGACATCGGATCTCTTTCCGTAAGGGTCCATGTGCCCAAATAGTATATACCTTGGCCCCAAAGTACCCATATAGGGACTACTTTAAGGCCAAAGTATATACTATTGGGGTACATGGACCCTTAGGGTTTCATACCTACAGTCAACCAGCCGGGCACTCCGCTGAACCGCAGGCCCGTCGGCCTGACGTCGACATTTGCAAAACTTGTTGGACGCATCTTGATACGCAGGCTTCACCTGCTACAATTTGGGTGCCGTCCTGGGAGACGGGCCATTTAGGGTTTAGGGTTTAGGGTTTAGGGTTTCATGGAGGCCAAAGCCATAGCCGAGATGGCCTCACAAGTAGGAAAGCACGAGCCTACACCACCGTCTCTCGCTAAGCTGGACATCAAGAAGGCCATTGGTAGTGTGAGCCATCGAGCGGCGGTGCGTTTCCTGTCAGCACGAGCTTCACCACTAACCAGTATTCTTGGGGGGCCTGTAAGCACTCAGCAAAACTCCGCTATAGTTTTTGTTACATGCAGCGCGGCTCCATGCGTGAAGCCCAGGAGCACTGGAGGCAGCCTAGGCAGAAAGCTTTGGTGTACTAATACTGACTCGTGAAATTTCGGACAGTGTGATAAACTCGTCTGATTGACTGACCAGAAAAGCCAAACCCAAAGCCTCAATGCCCAGCGGATCCTCGTCATCTGAAATGTTCAATCATGAGACTGCAGAGGGGGAGCTCGTGGAGCAAGAGACACATTCGACTTCGACGAAACGATGCAAGCCTGAAGCGCCCTCGTCTTCGCCATAGATGAATTGAAAAGAAGTGTGTATGCGTGTATGTTTACATGTTTATATATGTATGCATGTATGTATATGCGTTTGTAAATAAAATAATAAGTGAATTGAATATACATACATATATATATATATACACACACACACTTGTACATACTTGTTTACGAATTCTTTATTTGTTGACTTCTATGCACATCTTTTTGTAAACACGTGGACCCATCGTGCAAGCCTAACAAGGCTACCGACATGCAACCTGCAACCCAAGCCCATAACTCGGAGCCTTCAACGTCCCAGAGGCCAAGCAAAAGCTCGGCCTCATCCCCGTCCGAAGTGAGTTCGGCACCAGGACGAAACCTCGGCGGTTTCAGGGTTCGGGGTTTAGGATCGAGTGTTTGTCTGTTTTTTGGGTTTAAGGGTTCAGGATCGAGGCTTTGTGTATTTTAGGTTCTAGGGCTTAGGGTTCAGGTTCTACCTACGCCTAGGCAACAAAGAATCTACTTTTCTAAGGACTTATATAAGGAAATCAAAAAAAGAGCCCTGATAAGGGAGGTTCTTAAGAGGTCGATAACAGGAGAGCGAGGTTCTGGTTTCAGGGCTTAGGGTTTAGGGTTTAGGGTTTCAGAGTTTAGGGTTTAGGGGTTTAGGGTTAGGGTTTAGAGTTTCGGGGTTTAGGGTTTAGGGTTTCAGAGTTTCGGGGTTTAGGGTTTAGGGTTTCAGGTTTTGAGGGTTTCAGGGTTTAAGGTTCAGGGTTTCAGGTCTCGTCGGGTCTGGCGTCTAGAGTCCAGCATGCAGCTTCTGGGTTCGCCTTATATTAGGGCCTTCTATGGATGCACGAACCCTTAAAGCCGGAACCCTTATGGTATCCTTAAAGGAGTCCTTAGAGAAACCGCTAAAGGCACCCCTAAAGAAACAAACCCTTAACCCTAAACCCTACACCCTTACATAAGCCCCTAATCCCTAAACCCTAAACCCTGAAACGATTCTTTAAAGGTACCCTGAAATGAACCCTTGAAGGAGCCCTTATGCGTACATGGAGCCTCGGGCTGGGCTCTTCTTAAGGAACTTCGTTTAAGTCACCTTACTAGGGGGGTTTAGGGTTTAGGGTTTAGGGGTTTAGGGTTTAGCTGTTTAGGGTTTAGGGTTTAGGGGTTTAGGGCTTTGGTTTCCTGATAATAGTAACTTAAATTATTGCCCTTGAGAAGAACCCAGGTTTCGAGTGGCTGTTTGCATCTTGAACAAGATGTTGAAGGCTGTAGAGGATAGTTCAAAACACCTTCCGATAGAAGTTGCAACGGAGTCGGGAGGGCGTTTGCGAGTTCTACTTTGCGTTCAGGACTTGCTTACCCAAGGGGTACTTAAATATAAAAAAGGGAATCTGCATCGTATGTCATACAAGCATCAATCGCCGAGACCCTCAGTGCTGCATGAACCTTGTCGTAGAATTTCGCTTGAACAGTTACAAGCCTTCCTTCTTAACCTTGCCCTCAACCCTAAACTCTAAACCCTAAACCCTAAATCCTGAACCCCAAACCCTAAACCAAAAAAAAGCCAGGGTTTAGGGCCTATTTAGGGTCCAGGTAAACCCTAAACCTTAAACCCTAAACCCTAAACCCCTAAACGCTAAGCCATAAACCCCTAAACCAAACCACAAGCCCGTAAACGCCAGACCGAAGACCTTATAAGCCCTAAACCCCAAACAGACGTGTACTCACCTAGTCAGTGGGAGATTAACAATACTATTCCTTAGGGTTCTCGCGGTTAAGGGTTTAGGGTTTATAGGGTTTAGGGTTTAGGGGTTTCAGGGTTTAGGGTTTAGGGTTCTATAAGGGTTTCTATTCTTACAGGGTTCATCATTTGGGTAGTTCTCTAAACTGGGGTCCCTTTTTGGGTCCCGAGAAGAGTACGGCACCCTTATAAAAGGGCCCTAAAACGGACCCTAATTTTGAAAACTGCCCATTTATAAGGCCTTTAACCTGGAGGTCCGAAGCAGAAGAAGAAGTCCTATGATTCCTGAGGGTTCCTTCCTGCTACAACCATGGCCCTTACCCGCCTTACCTTCGAAGGCCTCAAACTTTAAGGCTTTTTGGGCCCAAAGACCCTATTGTTTAAGGCTTTTTTGGGCTATTTTGATGCTAAGGGTAGCATGATATCCCCCAAAATCTGTGTTAAGATCATTAAGGTCCCCAGCTCCTTTCGTACATAGCAAAGCTTAAACTTGTTTGGGACCTAGTTAGCTGTTGGGGAGAGAACGTGTGTGGCTTTTGTTTGTGTGTGTCAGCACATCAGCAAAGCGGCCGGGATACCCTAAACCCTAAACGTTAAACCCAAAACCATGAACACTAAACCCTAAACCCTAAACGTTAAACCCAAGACCCAAAACCCTGAACCGTTCTAACTTGTAGGCTTACTAGGGGCCCGGGAGTACCCTTATCACTTCTTAATTCTCAGTCAGCCCTCGTAGAACCCATATAAAACCGTTATGCAACCCTGTAAGGCACCTTTTTGGGCCGTGGTTTAGGGTTTAGGGTTTAGGGTTTAGGGGTTTAGGGTTTAGGGTTTAGGGGTTAGGGGTTTAGGGTTTAGGGTTCTCGAAGTAGGGCTTTACGGGTCATCAAACCGGCACCTTTCGGAATGACAGCTGGAGGATTTTGGTACATGGGTACTTCTCTAAACTATAGGGCCCCAATGTAGCACGGCACCCGTATGCAAACGACCCTAAAAGGGACCTAATTTAGAGAACTACCGCCGAAGACAGGCAAGCGATGGTGTAGCTGTGCCTCCAAAACTCGTGAAGCCCTAGCGCAAAATTCGGGCTTACAACCTGTGTTGTGTAGGGTCCTCGGGTAGGCCTCAGTGTATGCGACATAAGTGCATGAGAGCGTCGGCCGTGTATGGTAGGGTAATATGACATGTATGTATAGCTACATGCTTTCAGAGCCCCAATGCAGATACAATTTACCGGAAAGCTGGAGCAGAACTCGGAGAAATCGATGAAGGTCATTCAGCTTGATAAGATGAGAACTGAAGCAGCCTCGGAAAGATACTTCAGCCCCAATGTCTTAGGGTTTCGGGACACACATTGAGGCGGCTCCCACCGCGGAACCTCAAAGCAGGAAGAGATAATCCTAAATCCCTCTCCAGGACTGCAAACCTCATAACATATGAGGACGATGTGACTTGGCATTTGTTACCTGCTTACAAGCTGTCCTTTTTCCTTCCTGTTGGGTCAGTTCGTGGCACTATGAGGAGCTACGTCGGAGATGCACTATTGCAGTTATTGTCGTAATTTCTAGCATCAGTAGTATTGCTATTGATTTCCTTGCAGTTGTGACGACTAGCATGACTTGTATAACCATGCAATCATGAGCATTGCTTCTTGCTGCCGAGAGAAAACCCCAAAGCCGAAACCCTAAACCCTAAACCCTAAACCCTAAACCCTAAACCTAAGATCAAAGAACCAAGACCCTCAACCCTTAAGGCCCTTGAACCCGAAGCCCCAAAACAGACTTCTACTGTGAACCCTAGACCCTGAATCTTGAACCCCAAGGTTGAAAACCCTAAGCCCTAAACCCTAAACCTTCAAGGCCGAAATAAATCGAAATTGCTGGTCACTGTTGGCCATCTGGAAACCAATTGTTTGCCTGTCAGGACCCAACTTTCCCAATTTCTATAAGCCATTTTCCGTTTCAGGGTTCGCCCGCCGCAAACCGCCCCTCCCAGCCCAGGCCAGCCCAGGCTCGGGATGTTATCATGGAAGCAGCAGCAGCAGCAGCAGAAGCAATTATTGACAGCACCTCAAACGAGGGCTTGGGCTGGTGGCGAGCTGATGAATCTGTGGTCCTCCACCTCATGACATGCTGCCAACGTGCCAACGCGAATTCCCCAGACGAGCTGGTTTGGGCAGTTGGCACGCGCCTTTACCCTAGCGGCCTTTGAGGAGCCCCTCAGTTCGGCCCAGCCCGCAGCCGAATACGCACCCAGCCCCGCCCCAGCCCCCATGCCCCGGCCCACCACTTCTTAAACCAGGCTTCTAAAAGAGGCTCAAACTTATTGGCACCAGAACCCTTAGCAATTTCTATAAACCCTAGGCCCTAAATCCTAAGCCCAAACCTTAAAACCCAAACCCTAAACCCAAACCTTAAACCCAAGCCTTAAAGCCCTCAACGCAAACACTGCATGCAATAAAATTCCGCTTTGCTAAATCGAGCCTGAAGTCTACGCCCTAAATAGGGTTTAGGGTTTATGGTTGAGGGTTTAGGGTTCAGTTTTGTTGTAATCTCAAGCACACAACCTAAACTCAAAACCTTAAATACCCTAAAGCCCTACACCCTGCACAACCTGAAGTTAGACTTTGTTGTCCGCCAGGTGGTTTGGGAAGCCGACTCCCTGGAGAGTTTCAAGGCTCTGTCGGTTTTTGGAGGCGTCAGGGGTTTAGGGTTTAGAGTTTAGCGTGGTACGTTTAAGGTCAAGGGGTTTAGGGTTTTAGGGTTTGTGGAGTGATTGTTCCTTCGACTTCATTGTGAGGGTTCTTATACGGAATTGTTATTATTACTGTTGGATGATATCTCCCGAACCTTACTCTAAACATTAAAGCCGTAAGGCCCCCGTACTAAATTCATAACCGATCCCTTATTAAAAGGAGCCCTGTTACATGAACCAGTGCTTTCAATTTCCGGACCACCTAATTCCGACGAGCTCTGAAGCCGAATTCCTATAACCCAAACTCCAAAACCACTCGAGAAACCCATAGTCATTCCAGAAATCCCCCGGCAACGTCAACAACAAGAATCCTGAAGCCCTCAACAAAGAAAAAGACCTCTAACGGAACCTTGAGCCCTGAACCCTAAACCTTTTGCTGGAGCCTTAAAATCAACCTCGAAGCCGTCTGCCTCGTTCCTAAATCCTAGAAAAGGAGCCCTTATAGAATCCGAGGTTGTTATGGAACCCTCGAAAAGGGAACCCTTATAGAACCTTGTCAAAGAGACCCGTCTACATAGAACCCTTCGAGGAAACCCTTGCAGAACCCCTCAAAGGAATCCTTAGAGAACCTTTCACAGGAACCCGTATGGGACGGCCTCAACGGAACCCTGATAGAACCCCTCTGGAATCCTTCAAAGGAGCCCGATAAAGAGCATCGTAAACCCTAAACTTCCTAAACCCTAACCCCGTTTCAGGAACCCTTTAAAGCAACCCTAAACCCTAAACCCTAAACCCTAAACCCTAAACCCTTTAAAGACTAAATGCCAGGCCTACGCGCAAGAGCAATGGCCGCATTTTCCGCTGGAGGACTTGGTCTCCGAAGAGGAGCCCGCAAGGGGTTTAGGGGTTTAGGGGTTTAGGGTTTAGGGTTTAGGGTTTAGGGTTTAGGGTTTAGGGGTTAGGTTTAAGGTTTTAGGGGTTTAGGGGTTTAGGGTTTATAAGGTTTTAGGGTCTAGGGGGCTTTGGGGTTTGGGGTTCAGGGGTTTTGGGGTTTAGGTTAGGGTGTCTGGATTGAAGGGTTTAGTTCTTTTTGGCGTTGCCGTTTGGGGTTCAGGGTTGAGGGTTAGAGCTTTGTGGGGTTTGCCGTTTGGTTTTAGGGTTTGGGGTCTGTAGGGTTAGGGCTTTGGTTTAGGTGTTGTATTACGACTACACTTTGGCGTATAGTCCTACGGTATCTAGAACATGGAACCTCAAGGACAAGTATTGTTTATCAATCGAGGCTTCTATATGGACGCCTGTTTTTGTGAGCCGGCGATGGGGAGGTGGGTCTATGTAGGAGTCTATAGGACTCGTTTAGGGTTTACGGTTTAGGGTTTAGGGCCTAGTAGATGTTTTCTGGTTTCGGCTGTTGCGGCTTAGAATTTGGGGCCGGCAGGGCCAGCAGCTTGTTTGTAGTTTGTGCTTGTGTGTCGTTGCGCATGGGTGTGCCGTTCCTGGTTGATTGTTTGCCCTGGAGTTTGTTTGTATGGTGGTTGCGGGTTGCGGGCTTTTCGGGTGTTTTCGGCAGTTCGAAGTCTGCTACTTGTCAATCTGCGACAATGTACTTTTGAAAATACGATCACCGTTCCAATTACTTGCCCTAGCACCCGGCGTAATGGAATACAGAAGCCTGAACAGTTTGTTAGCTTGCGGAATTTTTTTCTATGATGGACCCCTAGCCCTATTCAAGTATGTAGTCCCTTGTACTGAACCCTTATAATAGCCCCTGTGGACCCCTTGGGGCCCCTATCGGTTTGGGGTTTAGGGTTTAGGGTTTAGGGTTTAGTTGGCCCTAAACCCTATAAACCCTAAACCGTGGGGATTTCGGACGCGCAAGGTCGGTGCCTGTTTATTTGGAGCCTTAGGGTTAGGGTTTAGGGTTTAGGGGTTAGGGTTTAGGGTTTAGGGTTTAAACGTCCAGCTATACCCTAAACATCCCTAAACCCTATATATGGTTTAGGGGTTCAGGGTTGAGGGGTGGGTTTCACGGCATACAACCAACATAAGCCCTGAAACCAAAAGCCTTCACCGTAAACCGCCTTGCGCAACCCCTAAACCCTGAACACTAAATCCTAAACCCTAAACCCTAAACCCTAAACCCTAAACTCTACTTCTTGACGAGGAACTTACACGGTTCGCGCAGAATCGCTCCTCGTCCTTCAACATCGCTTTTGCATAAGTTCCTTCAGTTCAGTTCTTGGCCCTGAGCCCTACTCCTATAGGCTACTATCAGGGTTTAGGGTGTAGGTGCCTTAAAAATTAGAATAGGGTTTTGGGGGTTCCTTTAAAGGGTTCCTTTAAAAGGGTTCTATAAGGGCTACTATCAGGGTTTAGGGTTTAGGGGCCCTTAATCATTAGAATAGGGGGGCCCATTATACTATAATTACAATAAGGAACCACCAAAATAGTATTGGTAATTCTTTGGGCCCTTACGTCACACTAAACCTAAGCCCAAAGACCAACTCTCCGATTTAGGGTTTGGAGGTCAAAACGCACTGAAGCCAGATTCTCAACCCAATTGTTTGACAAAGCCTACGACAATATTGACTATATGGGACTCAAGCGCATGGGGCTTGGTGCGCTGTGGAACTTTGCTGAAAGTGCGAAGGGAACCCTACCAACCCACACCCGCATCTTTAGACATAGGGTTCCCTTTAAAGCGGTTCGTGTAAAGGGTCCTTAAAACAGGGGCACTAAAGCATTTTCTTTGGAATAGGTTTCCCTTAGAAAGGGTTCCTTATATCGGGTCCTTATAAGGGCTACTACACGGGTCAGTAGAGGGGCCGAACTGTTTAGACCAAGAGCTGTCGATATGTTATAGTATACCTATAACTGGGCTTTGGAGTACCATACTTTAATACTCTTTTTGCAACCTGTTCCTTAAAAGGAACCATTATGAAATAAAAGTCTCTACTTTGTTCTCCTTGGTTGCTTCAAAGCTTGGTTGCTTCAAAGCCCAGATAATATGCAATAAGGGTTTAGGGTGTAGGGTATAATAAGGAACCCCGAAAACACGGTTTGGGGTTTAGGTTCATATAGCTGTACTTGAGTATTGTTCCTCAGGGTGCCTTCTTGTATGTATCATATAAGCTACGCCACACACCTATTCTACTTATTTAGGCCCCTAAACTTAAACGTATATTTGTACCCTTGAGAGGAAAACGTTTAAAGGAACCTTGATCTAATGATGTCTAGTTGTTAAGGCCCCTATCTTAAATCCTATAGGGCCCTTGAGCCCTGCTCCAAGATTTAACGCCCCTTATACTAAAACGCTTAATAGTAGTCATACTAATTCTGATAGACCCCTCAAGAGGAACACCCTAAACCCTAAACCCTGAATCCTATCCATTTCACTTGACAAGGTGGCGGCAGGTTCCCAAAGCCACAGCACTGTCGCAGCGCCATGTGGTGACCGGCCTGTTCCGGGTGGGCGGTTTTAGGATCTTACGGGTCCCTTTAGTGTTTTAATGGGGTTCAGGGTTTGGGATGTTGGGTTTTGGGGGTTGAGGGTCTAGCGGTTTGGGGCTTTTGAGGTTGCAAGCGATGAAGTCTTGGGATTTGGACCTTCGGCTGGAAAGTCTTGGGCTTCTGGGTTTAATTTGAAGGGCCCTCAATTCGGGAAACGCGAAATGCCCTAATATAGGGGCCGTAATAATTAGAACAGAGTTCTGGTGCCATCATGGTATAGTTGTAATAAGAAACCCCTACAATAGTGTTGGCAATTATTTAGGCCCCTA